TATGCCTTAATAATAATTTTGAACATATTCTCAATTGATTATTTAACAATAATTTCAATGCATACAGGGCAAGAAATTGCCCCGAACACAATGAGAATATTTATGCCAGACACCACAGAAACCTAAACCCTGTTTTAGCACCAAGAGTTTCACAAATGTTTAACATGACGGCAGGCCCTCTGTCTCTGCTTTCACTGATATCCAGGGTCCCTGAACTAGTCGTACAAACAGAGCATCAAATAACCCAAAAGTCAGCAATTTAAGCTTTTCAAATGAATGTCTCTGGCTTTATCTTTTACCACACTATTTTAAAAATTAAACTACTATGTATTTGTGTGTGCCAGATGATGGAAGGGAAAAGGGAACAGAGCAAGGGCTGCAATTAGTCACTTTGGCTACTTAGTAGCAGCAGTTATAGAACAGGTTTGGTAAAATGTTTCTGGACCAAATCAACTATAAAAAATTGGGACTTTTATCTTAAAGTATATGTTTATCTAGTTTATATTTTTAAAGAAAGAGTACTAATTAATCTGAAACATCTTCAAATAAATGATTAAAAAACATTTTTGCATGGACAGTGGAGAGAGGTCAGACTTGTATATGAACTCGGTTAACATAGAACAGCTGGAAGTCATAAATCCTTAAAAGCATTTTCTGCAGGAAAGACCCTTAGCCAACCATTATGAAGATGGTTTAAAATAAAGCAACATTATTCAGACTAACATGTATATTGACAGTTTCCATCAAGTTACTTATTTGGCTAAGTTACCTTATCTTATTCAACACAGGATTTAGAAGTGGGTTAGTCATGAACTAAAATGACCTCCTTAAGGAAGAATCCAGTAACCATGTCATGAGGCCAAGTAATAAAAACTTCAGTGAATTATCTCAAATAAAGATGACATCTAATTTATATGTATTTTCATTCTGTAACTGTATTTTGGCCTTAGAAATAAAGAAGAAAGCTTTACACACACACACACACACACACACACACACACACACAATTACCATTTAAATAAAAGTCTACATAAAATGGTATGTTTCTAATATAACAATATAGAAATATAAACTTGATTTGGAGATACATGATTTACACATTTTTTATATTATCCACTTTAACTTCAGTTATTTTAAAAACTGAATTTTATATAGCATATATTAGGGTTAAGAATGAGACCAAATGTTTCAGATAGTGAAAGTCTTTCTTTCTTTTCAAATATCAGCCATGTATTATAAAATTGTATTTAATAGAATATATCAGATATAAAAAGGAAGAATGTGAAAATTATAATCGTGATTGCATTTTCTATTTTGGCAATTTTAGTGGTAAATATTATGCTCAGCTGGCATTGGGAAGGTCTTCCTAAAAGTCGATAGTGTTGCCAAGGATATTTACAATATAGTAGAAATGGCATGAAAAAGTAAAATATGAAGGTCAAAGCCTAATTTCTTGCTTTTGTGGCCTAATTTTATGGTTCATTTTTGAATGTTGTCCAAAAGTGCACTCATAAGAGAGAATTTAGATTTAGTACATTGCATAAATGTTCCCACAATGCTGATGAATAAATTATGAGAAACCTTTCCTTCTAAAAGAGACTTTTTTTCTCTGAAGAGCGTTAAGTCCTCCAGAAATATCTTTTGCTGAAGAACATTTATATAGGGCCTTCATATGCATCAGATGTATTTGATTTAGCAACCTGAAATACACTTTACAAGACCTAAGAAGTAAAACATTCATTACAACAAGAAAAAAGAAAATTTGTATTAACCTCTTACTTTGGATTTTTACATAAGACGGCTAAAAACATTTGAAACTCTATAGTAACTGGTTCTTCATATATATATATTATATATATATATTATATATATATACGTATATATATACATATATATAACTAAGACTAGTTTTAAAACCTGAAGATTTTTTAAATATTAAGCAATTAATAATTGTTCGACTTGTAAATTCTTTTGGCTATATCATATAAATATGTTATAAAAGCTTGATTCTGAAATTACCTCTTTCACTGATACAATATTAATTTCAATTGATGTCACAGGATGATTGTGACCATTGCTGGCTATGAAAATCTGGTGAAAATTATAAATACTCTTCCTAGGAAAAGGTACATATACATGGAATTTTATATACAATTTTGGAAAGTCCGTGGACCCCTTCGAGCCTGTCTAGGGACTTCTGGTTATAATATCCTGGACTAGATAACAAAATGTAATTAAGGAGATCAGTGCACTAATGATAATATTACTTAAGGCAGCGGGTCTTCTCATATATTATTCATCCTTGTTATAAGAAATAAACTAATTTTATATCCCATTATTTAAATGCATAAGCATATTTGAAGTTCTAGTTTATACATATTTTAACAAAAATTATGCAGAAATGTATTTCACTATTTTAAGTGCAAATGTCTCTTGACATAAAATGAATGCCTTTTATATTATTAGAAAGAAAGTCTTCAGAATAATTATTACTCTGCTGACTTTTAAAATGCTAAGCAGGGAGCACTCTTCCAGTTGCTAGACGGGATGCTGTACAATTCATGAAGTACTTAATAAAGCCAATTAGAGCTCCAAAAAAAAAAAAAAAATAAGTAAATAAAAATAAAGCAAAATAAAATGCTAAGCAATACTTTTCATCTACCCATCCAGTTTTATTAACATGATCCTATAGTACAGGGATTAAAATGCTATATCATATTTCTACTCAGCGCATTTGACAGATTCCATTATTTTAAGGTATTTTTCTTAAGACTAAAGGCTTTAGAGAAATGAAAAAAAATTGTATTTTTACATAACACCTGCAATAGCTTCATTTTATTGAATAATTAATGCACATTATTCTGTGTAAAATACACATTATGATTATCAATTATCTAAATATGTGTGAATAAGATCACTACCACTTTTTGATTATGTCCATAAAACTTCTTCCTTCTGAATACTGGGAGGTTATTATAATGTAACTACTATATGAAGTCACTGAGGTATATATATTTTAACATAACCACTAGTGTAATATTAATGCTAATTCATTCAATAAAGGGTGGGGCAAAAGTCGATTTTCAGTTGTTTGTGTAGAAAATAATAGAATAATTAATAAAGAATAATAAAAGAATAAACTCTGTGTAAACTGTAAACCTACTTTTGCCCCACCCTGTATGCAAACGATTACAATTAAATATACACATAGGCTATTGCTAGAAATATCCAGTAGCTAAGTGGTCTGATTAGAAAAACAGTGAGCTACTTTCTCTCCCTGATAACTCTCAAAGACAATAGATTCCCCAGATAACAAAGTACTCTTAATGGAAATACTGAACCTAAATGAACTCTCTTTGATTCAGTATTTTGTTGCCTTTAAGCTTTATCAATATTCAAATAAGAAGTATGTGAAATAAATGTCTAAGTTCACTTGCATAAAGAAATTTCAGCTAGACTTCTTATCACTCTATTGGAGAACGTATGCAACTAGAATAAAATACTTTTCAGCATTTTCACAGTGACTTGGGGACTCCATATTACCATTGCTTAGTGGCTGAACATGGGACCATTTTAAGGCCTGAGAAATCAATACCAGCTAACATCACATGCCTCACCCAATTAGCCTGAGCAAATATAGCAGGTTACTTTTTAAGTTGATAATATTATATGGCCTGTGAATTATATTATAAATATCCAAATGGCCCTTGGCAGAAAAAAGGTTCCCCACCCAGGAAAATGCAGGAGGTACCTGAGATTGGTTGAAATTTTATTGCTCTAGATCTGGAAGGGTAATTAAACAAACAAACCATAGATATCATTTTATTTGTCTATGCAAAAAAAAAAAAAAAAAAAGGACTGAAATGCACAATTAAATAATGGTCAGTAAATATTTCTAGTAGGTGAAATGTCAAAAAAATATAACTTTTTTCTAATAGAAAAAGTAGACACAGCCACAGAAAGAAAAAGAGAGCTATGAAACTATGCAATGGAATTCTGCAGCTCACTAAAATTAATTAAAAATGCATATCTGAATCATACAGCTTAGTAGAGAAGATGACTCATGTACACAGGTTGCTACAGAACACCAGAGAAGTAGTTGCTATAAACATTTAGAAGAGAGGGCTCATATTTGGGCTGTCAGTAAGGACTCTTCAATTTGTTAATACTTGAGTCAAACTCTGAAGCATAGGTAAGATTTGAGCAACACACAATAAAAACAGGACATAGAAGGAATCCCGTGAGCCAAGAACAGAAGTAGAAATGCCAGGGTATTTTTGTGGACTAGTTGGATAGTGGACTTGGTTACGAGGAATGGTGAGAGATTAAGGCTAATAGCTGAGGTCAACCCATGGAACGTCTTGGGTCCTTCTTTAAAAGAAATGGTCTTCATTCTGTAGGTAGTGAGTGGAGAGCCAATGAATGGTTTTTGAAAAGATAAAACATGTTCTGAGGTGGCCTCACATCTATCCAACAGTAGTCAGTAGCAAAGGGGTTGTCTTTTCAATAAGTGTGCATCACAGCACACTCTCAGTTATTCCCAAGAACAAAAACACTAGCTCAAATCACATACAGAATGGAAACATGATACATGTATAAATTCACTTTTTATTCTAAGATGATAGTAATAATTAAAGGACCTTGGCACCAGTATATTTTTTTCCATAAAAAGTAAAGAAGGAAACAACACTATATTCAACACACAAAAGGTATTAGCAGGGACTGAGAACGTCTCGTAAGTACTAAGTTTACAAGCATGAGCATGTAGTAGGAGGTATGTGGTGTAAGTTTCTAGAAGACATGTGGTTAGTAAAACAAACAAAATCAGTGTTGTTTACTACTTGTCTGGCATAAATTATTCTTGGGCATGAGTGAGGAGCTGTTGTCAAGGATCAAGACGAAATATATGAGAATTTGTGCCAGAGTTCCCAGAAGATGATCCATGTTTATGCAAGTCAAATCACTTCGGTTTTATAATTTCAGAACGAGGAAACCCTTACCTCGCACAACGAGGTCGGCGGAGGCGGAGGAGTTGTCCACGATGGTCTGCGCGGTGCAGGTGTACCTCCCCGCGTGCTTCAGCTGCGCGTTCCGGATGAGCAGCTCCCCGTTGGCGTCCAGCTGTGAGCAAAAGCAGCAGTCATTCAAATCAGCACATGTATCACCAATTACACGGCCTTTCGGATACCAGAAGGACATTTTTCCTCTCACACAATGAACACCATGAAAAGGTATCTATTGTAGATATGCTAACCATATGTCTCCTTAGGCTGCTTAAGCATTGGGCTTTCTCAAGTGAAAAATGAAGTGAGTGAATTACTTAAGGTTCATTTTAGCCCTGATATCTTTAACATGTTATTAATTTCTTTCTTTCTTTCTTTTTTGCCAGATAGAGTAGGAGGGAGAGAAGGAGGAAGAGAGAGAGAGAAACATCGACATGAGAGAGACACATCGAGTGGTCGCCACCCACACGACCCCAACCAGGGCCGATGACACACTGCAACCGAGGTCCGTGCCCTTAGTGGGAACCGAACCTGGAACTGTCTGGTTCTCAGGCCAAGGCTCTAACCGCTGAACCAAACCAGCCAGGGTAACATGTTATTCATTTCTATTCACAGAGGGCCATACTGAGAGAACCGAAGGGATAAAACTATTTCCTTGGTATCTTTTAAAGAGAAACATTAAGGTCTAAAAATCTCAGTGCTGAACATCAGTGAGGACAAATAAATGCATTATGTGTGCGAAGAATTATTAACTTGATTTGCAAAAGTTGATCTCACTAATTTCAAGATGTGTCACAGTTCACTTTACAAAGATACTAAAAGTTTGCAGAAAGTGTCAAAAAGGAAAATTCTACTTACATGCTCTTTTTTTGCGAAGATATAAGCTCCCTGTGGGCAAGGATTTTTGTTTTGTTCGCTGCTCTATTCCCAGTGTTCAGAAGAGTATTCAGTATATATATTTTGAAGGAGGCTTGAGGGACTTTTGCTTGGGAATAACGTACCATCTCATTGCTATTTCTAAAAGTAGCTAATATTTTTATTAATATCAAGGTGTATGGGGATAGTAGTATTTACAGAGTAAATCCTACTCTGTACCATGTCCTGGGCTATATAAGTGTATATATTATCACATTAAATTTTCTTCTGAAAGAGGCCCAATTTGTCCATTTTATTAAACATAAACCTGAGACTCAGAGTAACTAAATAATTTAACTAAGGTCATTCAGCCCCTTTGGTAGTGAAAGTATGCCTAATCTGTGCTCATTATCTTCAAAATATTCTCTTAAGAGAAATATTTGAAAAAGTTTGGTCTTCCTGAGAATCAAAAAATATTGATTTACTATTCTAATCATATATATTAAAGAATGAAAGATTCATGGTTAGATTAATATTTTACGTAATACATGAGGGTATTTTTATGTGATATAAACCTGCACATTTTTTAATTTTGTTATTTTAATGACTCTATATGGCAGTGGTTCTCAACCTTCCTAAAGCCGCGACCCTTTAATACAGTTCCTCATGTTGTGGTGACCCCCAACCATAGCATTATTTTCAATGCTACTTCATAACTGTAATTTTGCTACTGTTTCTCAGGCAACCCCTGTGAAAGGGTCGTTCGACCCCCAGAGGGGTCAGGACCCACAGGTTGAGAACCGCTGCTATATGGAACGAAAGCTCTGCTTTATCTTAGGTTCTGCCAGAGGCCCCTTCACATATTAAATTCCATGCTGATTTTGGAAAGTGTTTGGGTTTGCAATCCTTGCTTGATGAATGAAGTTAAGAATAATAGCTAGCTATAATCTGAACACATTGATTCAATTGGTTATAATAGAATACTACTATCTCCATACACCTTGATATTAGCCATTCTTAGTAAAAACGTAGTTAGAGATTATGTAATTTAATGTCAGCTGAGGTATTCCTGTACATTGAGATCTAGCTTGGCTGAAAATCCAGTTTCTAAGATTTGTACAAATTCCCAGGGTAAGAGAGTTCTTTCCTTCCGTGTGCTTGGTCAGGTATTTCTTTGCCAATCCAAAGAGCCCCAGACTAGAAAGGCAGCCCTTTCTACTTTTTTGTCATAAAGCTTACTAACACAAAGTATTCCCTAGTAAAGTGGGTTTACTGAAGAACTGAAGGTGATGGAACCAGTTGTACATCACAAGGAGGGCAAATCAACAACAAGAATGATCATCTATTCCACAGCTCTATTCTTAAAAGTCCTGCTGACCATATTTTTAGAGGGATTTCTCACCAACTCCCATCTCTCCCAGTGCTCTGCCTTCTTGTTGGTAGTCACTCCCACTCCCATCTCTGACCTCTCTGTTCTTCTCTTCTATTCTTTGGACAAATAAATATTTTTATTTCTTCATGTTAAGATGCTTAATATTTTTTTTTTATCCTCACCCGAGGACATTCATTTTTCTATTTGTTGTTCAGGTAGAGTGTGAGGGAGAGAGAGGAAGAGAGAGAGAGAGAGAAACATCGACATGAAAGGGACACATCGAGTGGCTGCCACCCGCACGACCCACCAGGGCCGGGGTCAAACTGCAACCGAGGTACGTGCCCTTAGCGGGAACTGAACCCAGGTCTCTCTGGACCGCAGGCTGACGCTCCAACCGCTGAGCCAAACCGGCCAGGGCTAAGCTGCTTAATTCTTGATGGTTTCTTGGATTCTGACAATACTTATTTCTCAAAACCTTACTTTCTGTTTTCAGTATTTTCCATTGCTTTACCTCTTACTCCTCAATCCATTTTAATCTGGTTCCCATTTCTTCAACTCACTTTACTTGACTCCTAATAACATTGGGCTTGTCCTTCCCCAAACACTCAACATTTCTAATCATCTGTGATGATACACTTTCCAGAAATTTTGAGGACGTTTTCAACCCCTTTTCTGTTTCAACTTCCTTATAATTCCAGCACAAAGACTGGACTTTATCCACTCCTGTTCATCACTCTGCCTCTGCCCCTGCCCTTCTCCGAGCCACCAACATTTCTCCCTGAGCTCCTCTGTCCTGTTTAGTGATGACCTCCACTCCGTCTCACTCTGTTCTTTTCTCCATTTGTCACCCCGAGGGACCTTTTAAAAATGCAAATATGATTAGTCATGCTCTCTGTGAAAACCAACTGAAACCTCTAAAGAGTGTCCCCTTTCTGGATAAAAGTGTTACAATGCCTAACCTAGATGCATTCCGTAGATTCAGTCCAATATTCCAGCTCACCGAGTGCCACCATTTCACTTACACTCTGCTTTCCTAAGGGACACTCCCTTTTTAGGACTTGCATGTGTCTTGGCCTCTCTGAGCTCTGGCTCTCCATGGTGATTCCTCTCCTGAAATGTAATCTCCTCACCCCACTCCCTGAACACCATCACCTAAATAACACTTACGCTCTCCCCACCAATACCAGTTCAAGTCACTTCGTCATGCAAGTCTTTCCGTTTTCTCTTGTTATGTATTGTCATCGCACCTTTTACCTTATGTCACAGTATATATCTCCATTGCAATGAAATACGTGTACAGTCATATGATTGAAGTCTGCCTCTGTGGAGGACTGTACACTTGGAGGAGGAGGAAACATGCCTGTTTTGTTCAGCACTGTATCCCTGTGTCATGTAGGTGTACAACCATATGTGCTGAATCCACAGGGACCAGCACAGTGCCAGGAACACGACAACACTAGATATATGTTGTTGGAATGAATGGATCAACTTGCTTATTAAGAATTCTGGCATCTGCTTTTAAGGTAATATATGTTCACAGCCTGGCTGGTGTGGCTCACCCCCAGCAAGGGGCATGCGGGAGGCAGCAGATAGATGTTTCTATCTTCCTCTCCCTTCCTCTCTAAAAAAAAAATCTATAAAAACATATTTATTTTTAAAAAGGTAATATATGTTCACTTCAACTACAAATAGAATTAGCTTAGCAAGTTCTTATAGCCTGTGACAATCATAAGCACATGAGGCTTATTTTGGTGTCAGCATGAAGTACACACTCTTACTACCTCCTCTGATTATCCCTTCACCCAATTCCTGTGCCCTAGCCTCTGCAGACAATGTACACTTTATCATGTGTTCTCTGTCCTGCAGACCTGTGTTCATATCACTTGCATTGTTAGATTCCTGCATCTCCCAGTTCTATCACTTGGCTAACAAGTGATAGCCAAGTTGAGATGCCCCTTTCTTCTCTGGAATCCAAAGTCTGGGTTAGGCATGGCCTTTTGTATATTTCATCATAACTGTGTCTTTCTACTATAATTGTTTAGCTGTTCATTTCTTCTATTAGACTATACTTCCTTGAGGGAGGGACTAGATCTTATTTATTACTACATACAAATGACTTATTGAAATGCATGACATACAGGATGAATTCAACAAATAAATATTGCATAAATGAATTAATAAATACCTATTACCTAAAACATTTTTATTAAATTCTTTTAGTAATTTCATATCATTATTTTTCAGGTAAGATAGCGATAATGTTATAAATTAAAATAGCTGAATTGAAAACTATTGCTATCCATATACATGAGATCAGTTACCCATTAATAACATATTTCAAATTACTTATACACTAATTCCATGAAGAAATATAAATGTTTCAGGGATAATGTGGAAATTTATAGAGAGAAGAATGCAGGTAACATATAAGGCAACGGTAACCCATTTTTCCAACCTATATGTTTTATAAAGAACGTGGCCTTTACCTGAGAGAGGCCTGTTCTTTGTCCTCAGCTTCTGAAAGGCAATCTATGTCTCTTTCTTCACCTTGGTATCTTGGATCAGACTGAACAGCCTAACACTGTGATTCAGGATGGGAGTTAGCTGCACCTGTATAGTTATAGTGCGGACTGCCCATGCCAGAAAGACCAACAGTGGGACTCAGGGTAGGGGTTTCAGGTCATGAGATTAACCATTTGGTCAATCAATCAACTATGCCTATGTGATTAAGCCCCTGTAAAATCTCTGGACACCAAAGCTCAGGTAAGCGTCCCTGGCTGGCATTCCTCTGTGCTGTGTGCTACATGCCAAGGCTGACAGAGGACTGCATCTGGTCTCCACGGGGAGAGAACAATGAAAGTCCTGCTTTTCGTTCTTCTCCTGGATTCTGC